GTTAGCCAGGATGGTCTCGATCTCCCGACCTCGTGATCCTCCCGTCTCGGCCTCCCAAAGTGCTGGGATTACAGGCTTGAGCCACCGTGCCCGGCTATAGCTCATTTTCAAACGGATCAGAAATTGGGGGAAGTTGCACAGGGGGTACTTGTAAGTTCTATTTACTATTTCTGCAACTTCAATATAAACCTGAAATTATCTCAAAACAAAAAGTTAGAAAAGAAATTCTTAGGCTATGAGCCCAGAACAGTGGAGTATTCACCTTCTTCATCCTTCACTTCACATCTTCCTGCTGAGAAAACAGTTTTCTAAGGGTATTAATCTAGATTAGTGGCCCACTGTGGGTTGCCTGGTAACAAAGACACTGTGCCTTATGCATTCCAGCTTTCTGACAACTTAACTTTCAGACCTAATCTCTGGGCAATTTATAGTCTACCAAAGCATTCAAGGAACAATGAGGCCCAGTGGGTAGTTTGTGATTGTTCTTTATAGTTTTAGGAAAAGCAATGACTAAATTTAATTCATACGAGTGTGGGTGGCTAATGATCTGATAATGCCACTCTGTTAAAAACAAGAGGGGGAATGGTGGGGGAATCCTCTGAGGGGGAAGAATTCAGGCAGTGGTAGGAAGGGGTAGTTTGAGGAAAGGGGCTTCCATAAAGTAAACTGGTTTTGCTTTGACCTTGTAGTCCAATCTGCACATACATTGTTTCTTTTTCTTTCTTTTCAAGACAGGGTCTCACTAAGTTGCCCAGGCTGGAGTACAGTAGCACAGTCTCAGTTCACTGCAGTCTCAATCTCCCCGGGCTCAGGCTATCTTCCCACCTCAGCTTCCTGAGTAGATGAGACTATACACGTGTGTCACCATGCCCAGCTAATTTTTGTGTGTTTTGTAGAGAGAGGGTTTTGCTGTGTTGCCCAGGCTGGTCTCAAACTCCTGGGCACAAATGATCCTCCTGCCCTGGCCTCCCAAAATGCTGGGATTATAAGCATGAGCCACAGTGCTCGGCCATATATTGTTTTTCACTGTTTACCTCTGTCTACTCTTACAGTGTTTCTAAAGCACTCTCCTTTCCCTAGATTTAGGATACTATGGTTAGGTATTTTTCAGGGGTTGCTTCCTAAAATCAGTTTTGTTCTTTGCTGCTTGTTGAACAAGACGTAACAATGTAGTTTACCTAAAGAAATGTAAGCTCTTAGAATCTTAGCTGGGTAACCCAAATAGCCTACATATGCATATACCCTTTGAATCCTCAATTTAGTTGAGTCTGCATCCAAAGTTTTAATTCTGTAGGTTTAGAAATTTGCCATGCCCATTATTTATCATTTCACATTCATTTCACGCTTTCATTCTTTTCTCCTCCCTCATCCTAAGGCTTTAATTCTCCACTAAAACTTCTAAAATACTGAGTACTTAGTTTAAGCCAGCATTCAAAGCTTAATTCTAAAGGTTTTATGTCTTTACATTCTATATATTAGCTTTTCTTGTGATCTGATGTATGTACTGCTTTCTTCTTTTGTCAGATATTCAGAGAATTCCAACTTCTTACAAGAACAGATATTTATAAGAAAACAAGGCACATTTTGGAATCCTATTCAGAAAATATACTGACTTCTTTTTCAGTGGTGGACAATCCAATCAATATTCTATTGCAAGAAAAAATGAAACATTACACAGATGAAGACATGTTGAAATGTTAGTAAACCTTGTGGAGCGGCGTGATTTTGTCTGCTATCTGTCAGGATATCTAGAGAAGTTATGCTTTGGTAGTCAGTAAAATTCAGTAATTTACATTTATTGAGTTTAAAAATATATTTAAAAATTATTAAAAATTTACATTACTAAAATATATTTAATAACAATTTTCAATATTTAAGTAACAAGTGAAACAACTGGTGGGGAGAAAAAGAAATTTTCAAATTAGGGGAGGAGGAGAGCTACAGATTTTAAAAGTATGCTGGATATTGTAAAATTATATTTAGGGAACTAGTAACCTGTTAATTTTACAATACAAATCACAAGGGGCAGTATAAAATCTTCCTGGCTGATGGACAGACAGTACAAAACTCTTGTCTACTCCTGGCAGTGCTCTGGAGGGCAGACATGAGATTCTGAATGTTTTATTAGAAGAGGGTGTGGTTTAAAAAGGTGTGAAACACTGATCTAGGAAGGTTAGTTTGTTTTCTGTCCAAGGTAACAAAAAATCCAGATGTTTCAATACTAGCTTAGCTTACAACTGCTAAAAGCTTATTTTTACTTCAAATGTTAACGTATTTGCTTTGACAGACATGAAGCTGACAGCCACATGTTTACTCCTCCCAGATGTTTTTGGGGATGATCCCAGTCTTTTTGTCATCATGAATGAACAGGTGTGTAGTATGTGAACAGCCACTGGTTTGACATTTTACATCTTCATGCGATTATTTATATATTTAATTAATTTATTTATATTTTTGAGATAGAGTCTCACTCTGTTGCCCACACTGGAGTGCAATGGCGTGATCTTGGCTCACTGCAACCTCCGCCTCCCGGTTCAAGCGATTCTTGTGCCTCAGCCTCCTGAGTAGCTGGGATTATAGACATGCACCACCACGCCCAGCTAATTTTTGTATTTTTAGTAGAGACGGGGTTTCATGGTGTTGGTCAGGCTGGTCTGAAACTCCTGACCTCAGGTGATTCACCTGCCTTGGCCTCCCAAAGTGCTGGGATTACAGGCGTGAGCTACCGAGCCCAACCGCGATAACTTATTTAAAAGCAAAGTTGGTGGCCTATTTTGAAGTATGTTTGTCGTATTTACAAATATGCTACATTGCAACAAGCCCATTTATTGTAACACCATGATTAAGTTCAGGTCTGTTTTATTATTTAGCTATTTTACGTATCACAGTAATGACTCCATTCTTTTTTTCAGGTGCAAGTATCCACACCTGTGTTGGAAGTTAAAAACCCTTTCAACATGGAGGTCTGCGAATTTTCTTTATATTTAGAAAGGGAGAGGCTCACAAAGGTGGACGACTGTGTTACGGCCTTGGCTGCGCTAGTAGCTGCCTTTCACGTATTTGGGATTGAGTGTCCAAGAAGACTGTCCCAAACCTTCAACTTCCTAGAAACGTTGATTTTTGATATGCACAGTCCCTATTTTCCTTCTTTGAAAGAAAAGGAAAAGGAAGTAGGATTTCAACTCCCAGTCACTTAATAGCATGCCAAACATTGTACTGGAATTTACCTCTGGGAAAGTTCAAGCTTCATAAAAAATTGTTTTGATTTAGGGTTGTGGTAGAGGTAGGTATGAGAAAAATAATCTTGTATCATAGATGCTAATGAATTTCAATGCTTTCTATCTTTACACTTAGATATTAAGTTCTTTGTGAAATTCTGTAATAAAATTCTACTTCATTAAAGAGCTGTTGATTTATTTTGAGTTTTTAGAAATTCCACGGTTGAAGTTATATTTCCAGAGGTGCCTCGGTTTTTTTGAAATACACTGTACTCAAATCTTTCAGCTTAGAGAATGGACTTGGACTGAACTCAGTGTGCACACTTTATGCCCAGGAGCTGCACATTTGCGGCCGGCCTGTGGGCTGTCTCTTTGGTCTGAACATCACTTGGGAACATTTTGAACTTGCACATTTCAAGAAGGGACACATTAACTCTTCTCTCCCTCAGGGGATCTGCCTTGCCCCAGGAGATCTGGTTGTCTTTAATCGCTTGTTGGGAATAAGGGCTGCGGCACTTTTGAGGTCTCCTCATTGCTGGCTGATCTTGCTGGTACAGGTCCTCATGTCTGTGACCTGTGTTCATCTGCTACTGCTTCTCGCCTTGGAGACACAGTGACTCATCCTGCATGCCCAACTGGCTACTGCCCAGAGTTCAGTTCTATCTGTTCTGCTCTTAACAATGGCTGCATAAGTACCTTTTGGGTCTAACAAGACTCAGTGCACTCTCCCTCTTTCCAACTATTTCACAAGGTAAAAACTCTAGTTTAAGGTGCCCCTTGATGTTATTATCAAAATATCAACATTACTTATTAGCTCTGAAAGATAGACCAGGTCCTTTTGGGAACAGAAAAGGGATTTAAGTGTGTTAAAATACCTACACAGCATAATGGGATGCGCATTTCCTGGGTTACATCATCAAATTAATTTTTTTAAGTTGAAGAAAGGTTCATGTGGGCTGGGCATGGCGGCTCATGCCTGTAATCCTGGCACTTTGGGAGGCCAAGATGGGCAGATCACCTGAGGCCAGGAGTTTGAGACCAGCCTGGCTAATACTGTGAAACCCTGTCTCTACTGAAAAAACAAAAATTAGCCAAGTGTGGTAGCACATGCTGTAGTCCCAGCTACTTGGGAGGCTGAGGCAGGAGAATTGCTTGAACCTGGGAGGCGGAGGTTGCAGTGAGCTGAGATCATGCCACTGCACTCCAACAGGGTGAGACAACAGGGTGAGATTGTGTCTCAAAAAACAAACAAAAAACAAAAGAAAGGTTCATGTGAACTATTGAAGAAATAGTTTTACACTACCCATCTCTGGAAATACTGCAAAGTATTTATTCTATCACTGAAATGTCAACAGCCTGCTAGATACCTTTCTCTCTAATAAGGACTGTTCATTAACATGCTGAAGCCAGTGAGATAAAAGAAGTCAAAGAACAGTTGCCCATTTCTATAATTATTAATTAACTACTTACATCAGGCAGAGTAAGTAACAATTTGGCACAAGTCATTTTGCCTAACCTAGTTCCTATCCTCCAGTACTCACTTCTTCCCTTTCACTAGAATGTACCTTTAGTTCCTTGCAAACTTTCCTTTATTTCCCCAAATCACTCTTTCTTCCTTTTAGTCCTTTATTCCCAAATAAATTTACCAAGTTCTTACAGATTCTTTTCCTTATAAGGTACACACCCCTATGACTAAAGTTGAATGACAGCCTCTCTCAGGCTGGGACACGATGACAAGGTAGCTACAGGGAAACTGCAGTGAAGTTTGGCTCCAAGCATGACACAAACATGGGCTAACCTTGAAGGTAGATTCAAGCCGATTTTATTGTCTATCTCAATGGTGTATCTATCCCCAGTGCCCAGCACGGTCCTGACACTTGCTAAATTCAACATTGCTTGACCAACATACCCTATTTTATTTAGGGGCTGAGTCTACTGAATCTAGAAGTTGCAGAATGGCAACCTGAGGACAAATATCAACCTGCAGAAAAGTTTTATTCGGCTTGCACAGTGTTTTCAACTAAAAAAAAATGCCTTTAGATGGGAAAGTCCTATTCAAGGTGTATATTTCTATTCCTCCCTTTTCTCTCTCTCTTTTTTTTTTTGAGATGGGATCTTGCTATGTTGCCTGGGTTGGTCTCGAAATCCTTGGGCTCAAGAGATCCTCCTGCCTCAGCCTCCTGAGTAGCTAGGATTACAGGGTTGAGCCACTGAGCTTGGCTTCCACCATCTGTCTTACCCCAAGCCTGCATCTCTCATTTCAGAGATCTCCCTACAATCATGGTGCCCTATATTCTCTGTTAAAACTTAGACTATATCCCAGGGATGGAGTGGTGAGAGTTTTCACCTTCTTGAGGTACAGTGAATTCTGCACCACCCTATGGATGCTTAATGCCTTGCCTCTAACATGTAACAACACGCTGCATAGAATGAGTGGATGTCTTCAATAAGATTTTAAAAATCGGCTGGGAGTGGTGGCTCATGCCTGTAATCCCAGAACTTTGGGAGGCTGAGGCAAGCAGATGACCTGAGGTCAGGCGTTCAAGACCAGCCAGGTCAACATGGTAAAACACCATCTCTACTAAAAATACCAAAATTAGCCAGCCGTGGTGGTGGGTACCTGTAATGCCAGCTACTCAGGAGGCTGAGGCAGGAGAATCACTTGAACCCGGGAGGCAGAGGTTGCAGTGAGCCGAGATCACGCCACTGCATTCCAGCCTGGGGGACAGAATGAGACTCTGTCTCCAGAAAAAAAAAGAAGATGTTTAAAATCTCATGATTTAAATTATGCTTTAGTTCTATGCTTTACACTTGAAAAGAAAAATTCCCAATGGGGATGAATTGTACTTGACCTAACAATATAATCTTTCAGTATTTTTGTCATCATCTTGGGACACACTTTGACAATTCTGAATCCTACAGATTCATTACACAACTAGTAATGTCCGAATACTTGATGCTCTTCCTGCTCTTGTGCTGCCTCTCCTATTTGAGAAGCTTTCTTAAAAATCATACATATGTAAAAAGCATCTGCAATTAAGATTTTATTTCATTCATATCAGATATAACAAGTACAACTTGAATGTACAAATTCTGAACAAAACATAAAAAAGAAAAAACAACAAAAAACTTATTTAAGCAGATTCATGCAAATAAATGACTGGGACACTGTAGATGTCACTGACCCTGTTTTACCTTGAATTGACAAATGCAAAGGACTGCTAATGGACTTCCAACAGGGACATCAAAGGAAGTCCTACATCATAAAAAACGAAAGCAACTAAAGAAGAGGTGGAACTTCCCCCAGAATTCAGACAGCATGCTACAAACTTACTTTCTATTTTTAAAATAGTCCTTGAATAAATATCCAATCCTGGAATCAGAAAGTACATCAAAAGACGGACAAAATAATTTACCTTTTGCCTTAGAAATGCATTCTTGCAAAAGAAACACTACCAGCTATCAATTTATAATCAAGGGTTTTCATTTAAAGTGCATCTGTATGCTTATATATCGAGGCAAAGTATTCTACAGAAAAAGGAATCCTTCCAAGATGGAGGTTCTTGGCTAATTACTTTGGGAAATCACCTCCCTGATCTGTGAGAATTTCAGATTTTGTGTCAAATGAAGTTGCTCCTTCACACCTTGCCTTTTCAGTAAAACCACGACACTCGACACTCGCTCTTCAGGCAACCCTGAAAAAAACCTTTGGGTTTGGAGGACAATGCATGACCTGAGACAGGGCTCTTTACAGATTAGTGTTTCTGTTGACAGAATGAGCTCTCAGTCTCTGTAAAGCACCACAGTTTCCTCAATGACAATTAGAAGCTCAAGATCATCTCATAAATAGTTCAAGACCCTCACAAACATCCCCCCAACCATAACTGCATCCAACTGCATACTCCTCTGATACCATCTGGCTCTTGTAAACACGGGGGCACCAAGATGCGTGAGACTGATGCCACTCAAATACACTACCTAATTTATTTATGTTTATATATTTTATTTTTCAATTCCATTCTTTTATATACACGTTTTTGGTAATTATAGTAAAGATGCTGGTGAAAAGTAATTTGTTTAACATTTCATAATGCGTGCAAAAGGAAAAACACTGATTCAAAGAAAAGTCACTCTTACAACTATTCAGCCCTGACAATTATGACAAGCAGTTAGGCAATATCATGACTTGCAAAGTTATACTTAGCATAATGTTGCAATTCAAAATATGGCACAAAATTAACAATACAGATAACAGTCCTACCGGCTAAAGTTAGCCAGGTTTTGACTAATTTGGTTTAAATTGAAATTTGATTATATAAAAAGGTTTCTGAAAGTATTGAAAAAGAAACAGTGTACATGAAAGAGAATTCAACAATGTTTACAAAATGCCAAAAGTTCTTACTCTGCCCCCCCATTACCATAAATAATTAATGAAGTCCCCCTTTCCCCCCGCCCCCCAGACTCAAAAAGATTTACAAAGATAAATTTAGCTCAGTGAACAGAACCAAAAGATGACTGTTGTTAGACAGTACCTGGTTAAAAGCTCAAGCACTTTCATAAGAATTCATATATATTGTCTCTTGAGGAATATAAATAATCCGATAGTGTTGCTCTTTTGAGTTTTGGAGACTTCTCATTTAGGAGTTATAACCGTCCTTGTGCTTTGAATAAAACATGAGCTTTAAAGCAGAATGCTGATGGTATTCAGAATTCACCCTCTTCAAAGTTCATTGTGAGAATTCTTCTCTGCAGCTTTGAACATCAGGATGGAATTGAAAATTTTGAGAGCAGGGCCCAGTTTAATGCTCATAATTTTAACAATGTCTGTTTGAGTCATAAGTAGAAATGCTTCTCCATCAATTTGCTAAAATGGGGGAAAAAACACCAGAATGTGGATTAACAAGATGCAGTGTTGTAGAAAATATTCAAGGTTAAATTATCAGCTGTCTTCTACATAGCAATGCTAAAAAAGCACACATAGAAGTTCATGTGTGCAATGACATTTCTTGATATATGGACCTTTTTTATCCACAACGACACACCCAAAAGTGGACTAGGAACAAAGTAAACTAATTCACCTGAAAAATCAGCCCACAGGAAAAGAGAAGGTACTCATACCTTCCTGTGATCACTCTGAATTAGGTGAAGAGTTAAGAAGAATATGGAAAAATTCAGGGTGGCCAA